GGCCCTGCTGGGAGGGATGTGGACATTGTTATGGCATGGCCCCGGACATCCCCTGGGTGATGCTGAGGTGAGCTGCTGGGGAACTGAGACTGTTGGTGCCATTTCTGCCAGGCCACCGCAGCACCCCTACTTCTCCATGGACAGCTCCACAGAAGGGAAGGGGTTCAGTGTCCTTGTATCCCCATGTCTGACTCAGTGTCATGGGGTGCTGGAGCTCAGCCTGCAGCAGCCCCATATGGGCCTTCCCTGTGTCCCCTCCACAGCTGGGGACACCCGAGATGAAGATATGGAGCAGGGATACCTGGTCCCAGTTGTACTTGGAGGGGTCACATGGCACCCTGCCACCTTGGCCCCGGTTTGTGTTTGGAGGTTATCAGGGCACCCCACCTCAAACTTCCCCTTGGCTGTGGTTTCGGTTCTGCCTTCGCCCCCAGTGTGGGCACCCCCAGGAAAGGGGAAGAGAATCTGCAGGGTGAGGGGAAGCACCAGGGGACAGCCAAGGAGGAACAGTGGGTAGGGGACATTGTGAGGCTGGCTCTGGTCACCAGTGCTGGACACTGGTGACAATGGGGACAGAGCAGGGGGATGGCCCCCACCATTCCTGTTCCCACACCCAGGGGGCATTTGGGGAGGGGGTCGGGGTTCCCTACCAAAGATGGTGGGAAGGGAATGGGAGTGCCAGGCTGCTGCCCAGCCCCAGGCCCTCTCCTGGGGGCGTTTACGGGAGAGTTGGAGCTCCCCAGCACTGTGGGGTACAGGGAAGCAGAGAGGCAGCTCCTAGGCCCCATGGCGTGGATGGAGCTCCATGGAAATGAGGAGGCTGTTCATCCAGTGCAGCCTCCTGTAATGGGCCTCGAGGAAGGGGCACTATGGTCCCATCCCTGTCCCAGCTTGGGGATCCTGCCCGGCCAAGTGCTGCTGCTCCAAGGGTCTGATGACTGTCAGTGGGAAACAGTCCCTTCCAGGCCCTGCAGCCCGGCTCTCCCCTTGGGGATGGTCACACTACAGCTGCTCCAGCCCGTCCACTTCACGCACCCCGAGAAGCTCCTGGAGGAGCCACTTCCTCCAGTCCTGCCTGCACCCATCCCCAACCCTGCAACTGTGGGCCAGGTGGGAACTGCTCATCACTTCCTCCCTGGGGAGCCCCTTCCCCAGGATTAGGCCAGCGGTGCCGAGGGGCCAGGGGATGTCACCAGCTCTCCTCACTTTCACCCCCCAGAGTCGTCCATGGCCACAGTCTTTGCCCACACACCTGGCCCAGCTCTGCTCCTGCTGATTTGCCACATCACTGGCTTCTACCTGCAGCCCATCAGCGTGCCCTAGCTGTGGGATAGCCAGGAGGTGACAAAGAGACATGGGGCCAGTGCACAGCCTGGGGGCACGGGGAGCCCAGGCATGCGGCCAGGCTGTGGGAATGGGGTTTGCCTCCCCTGCGGGAGAGACAGCCATGTTGGGGTGAACCTGCCTGGTTAAGTAGGCAGCACAGAGCGGATGGAGATGTCTGTGCTACGCAGGGCCAGACATGTCGGGCATGAGTGGCAGTGAGGGACATTCCTGTCAGGGACAGTGGATGCAGCCCATAGCCAGGGGGCATCTCCACCAGTAAGGGTAGAAAAGAGGGTTTGGGTCCCCTGCACTGCCCTGATCGCCAAGGTGCTGCTGCAGCACAAGGTCCTCCTGCAGCCAGTGGTACAGCCTCGCTCCCACCCGAATTCCCCCAGCACTCACAGCCATACTCAGGGTGCCCCAGACCAGCCCACTCCAAGCGGGAACCTTGGGGCCCTCCCCAAAACCTCAGTGCCAGCCCCATTGGCTGCCAGGGCCACTAGCACCAGTGGAGCTTCCCAGGCAGAGCCACCCTGAGGAGAAACGCGCAGCCACGTCTCTCACAATCCCTTCCTCCTGCCGCTGCACCCACTACTGCACGCTCAGGGCGTCGGTGCTGGCATCATGCAGCCCTCTCGCTGCTGCCTTCTCCTCCTCCTTCTCCTCTACCTCCTTCTCCTCTCTGGGACATGGGCAGACATAGAAGGTAAGTGGGAACCCTGGCTCATCCACATCTGCTCCCATCCCTGCACTGCGGGACCCCACAGAGGTGGCAGGGGGTGGGCACAGACAGCCGCTGGGACCAAAGCGGCAGGGGACTTATGGGGGGCCTGCAGGTCCCTGCAACCCTGAGGACCCACCCCTCAGCCCCTCCACTTTCCCCAGCCCTCTCCTTACACTCCCATCTCCCCCTGTTGACCCCTATCTCGTGTAGGCTCCTTCACTGTCCGTCTGCTCCAGACCTCCACCTTCCAAAACACCTCCTTCGTGGACACAGAGGGGCTGGGCCTGCTGGAGGACATTGAGCTTGGTTCTCTTGATAAGCACACCTGGACAATTCGCTTCCACCAGCCCTGGGTGCGTGCAGCCCTGTCGCGCAGTGACTGGGACACCATTGAGAACATGATCAAGATCTATTTGCAGAACTTCAACCACCTGATCAATGAAGGTGCTGTGCAGAAGAGTGTGCCCTGTGAGTACCGTCTTCTCTGCATCCCCTCTCCGAACAGCATCTGGGAAGTGGGGAAGGACACAGCAGTGCTGGCACTGCACAGGAGATGCTGACCACATCTGCAGGAAGGCAGTCCCAGCCCCTCATGCAACCTCTCTCTCCTCTCTGTCCCTCCAGACCCCTTCGTGGCCCAATGCACAGCGGGCTGCAAGCTCTACCCCAACAGGACCTCCCAGGCCTTTGTCTATGTGGGCTACAATGGCCAGGACTTCCTCAGCTTCGACGTGGACAATGCCACCTGGCTCCTCTCCCAAGACACCAACCTGTCACAGTATGTCCAGGCTGTTCTCCAGAACTATACTGCCTTTAGCGAGCTGGTGGATGTCCTCTTCAATGATACCTGCGTCGACGACATGGAGATGTTACTACGCTATGGAAAGGCAGCTCTGGAGAGACAAGGTGAGACCA